TAGATCCCCAAAACAATTTTCAACATTTAAAATTTGTGTATTTAAAAAAACATACGTTAAATGTTAAATATGCATTATTAATTGTTTTCAATTTGTTGAAAATCTGCAGTTTGTAGCTTGCTTTAATATAAATGCAAGTGTTATTAAAATTAAATTGTAGAATTTACTGATGCATTTAACATTTAAGTATATTTCTTTGCTCGTGCGTGAGGAATCATTTTGCTGCTGGATGCGAAGTGCGATCCTTTTAAGTGAGTCGTGTCCTTAAACCGCTAAGTGAGTAGTGCTCTTATGGGAGAAGCGGCGCAAGATCCTCAGAAGAGGCGCTCCTATTATGTTTACCTACATCGCTTTGCACTTTACATGAACAATAAACCTGAAGTAGATTGCCCTTAGATGTGTACTGTGCTCCATGGCTATATCAGTTTTTAATTCATATTAAAGAATTTACGTAACAATTGTCATTTCAAAAGAAACGTAATTAAATTTCAAGTGATTTTGTAAAATTAATTTTATTTAAATAATTAAGAAAATTTAAAGCATACTTTTGAAAGCTTATTATAGAAAAACTACAAATTCGAGAAAATTAACAATAGACTCATTGAAAAGGTCATAGTTTCATCTTTTATTTGCAAATTAAATGATTTAATTAAAATTCGTGGTATTTACATAAACAACTAAAGTAGATTGTTAATTTTATGTTTTTTTAATTATTAGGAAAATTTAGAGGTAAAATTTGAAAGCTAGTTACAGAAAAACTACAGACTCGAGAAAATTAACAATAGGCTCATTAAAAAGATTATAGTTTCATCTTTAATTTGCAAATGTAATGATCTAATTAAAATTGGTCGTCATTACATAAAAAATAAAACTAAACTAGATTGTTAGTTTTATGTTTTTTTTTTTAATAATTAGGAAAATTTAGAGGTGAAATTTGAAACCTTATTACAGAAAAATTAAAAATTCGACAAAAATAACAATAGAAAAGGGCATAGTTTAAAATTCGTGGTCTTTACATAAACAACTAAAGTGGATTGTTAATTTTATGATTTTTTTTAATAATTGGGAAAATTTAGAGGTAAAATTTGAAAGCTTATTACAGAAAAACTACAAATACGACAAAATTAATAATAGGCTTATTGAAAAGGTGATAGTTTCTTCTTTAATTCGCAAATTTAATGATCTAATTAAAATTCGTAGTCTTTACATAATCAATACAACTAAAGTAGATTGTTAATTTTATGTTTTTTTAAACAATTAGGAAAATTTAGAGGTAAAATTTGAAAGCTTATTACAGAAAAACTACAAAATCGACAAAATTAATAATAGGCTCATTGAAAAGCTCATAGTTTCTTCTTTAATTCGAAAATTTAATGATCTAATTAAAATTCGTGGTCTTTACATAAACAATACAACTAAAGTAGATTATTAATTTTATGTTTTTTTAAACAATTAGGAAAATTTAGAGTTAAATTTGAAAACTTATTACAGAAAAACTACAAATTCGACAAAAATAACAATAGACTCATTGAAAAGGGCATAGTTTTATGTTTAATTTGCAAATTAAATGATCTAATTAAAATTTGTGGTCTTTACGTAAACAGCTAAAGTAGATTGTTAATTTTTTTTTAATAATTGAGAAAATTTAGAGGTCAAATTTGAAAGCTTATTACAGAAAAACTACAAATTCGACAATAATAACAATAGACTCATTGAAAAGGGCATAGTTTCATCTTTAATTTGCAAATTTAATGATCTAATTAGAATTCATTATCTTTACATAAACAATAAAATTAAAGTAGATTGATACTTTTATTTTTTTTTAATAATTAGAAAAATTTAGAGGTCAAATTTGAAAGCTTATTACAGAAAATCTACAAATTCGTCAAAATTAATAATAAGCTTATTGTAAAGGTCATTGTTTTGTCTTTAATCTGCAAATTAAATTATCTAATTAAAATTCGTAGTCTTTACATGAGAAATAAAACTGTTGTGCTTTTTTGGCAACATAATTTTCTTTTTAATTTTTTGTTTCTTATTAAAAATATTTCCAAGAATTTATAAAAATCGTTATAAAAGACTTTTTTTTAAGTAATCACATCAGTTTTAAAATAAATCTATAAGATTATTATTTTTTTTAGAAAAATTGGGAAAATTCGGAAAGCTTTTTAAAGAAAAACAACAAATTCCACAAAACTAATAATATGCTCATTGGAAAGGTCATAAATTTCTCTTTAATTAAAATATTTGATGACCCAATTGTAATTATTGAGTAATTATGTAAAACGTGAAAATTAAAAAAAAAACTTTGTCTCATTAACATTATTTATTATGAATTGAAATGAATTGTTAAATCTCAATTGTTACTAATTATTACTTACTGATTTGTGTATTATGAGAAGTGTAATTGAAGAATTATTGAATATGTAATATTTATATTGAAATTATAAAAAAAGGTATTAGAATTTTAATACTCAAATTTTAATAATTTATTTTCTGAGATTTTTAAATAATATTAATCTACAAGTAAACTTATTTCAAAGTAAATAATTTTGTCTTTAATTTAAATTATTGATCATCTAATTAGTGTATGTAATTATTGAGTAATTAAATATAACGTGAAGTCGTTACATTATCAAATTTGTCTACAAAATGTGTTCAAAAAATTAAAAAAAAAAAAACAAATATCGATTTCCATTACAAAAATTAGTTATAAAAACAGCATGTAATAATTCAGCTTAATCGAAAAAACACACAAAAATATTGAATATCAATGCAAACCGCAATACGCATCGAAATGAAATAACAAACAAAAAATTGCATCGACATTATTCACAATTTATCATCGTTAGTTACTACTAATAACAAACCACGGTTTCCGCATTTTCTGGTATTGTTTCATACGAAACGTTGGACGTGCCGAAATGTAATACGGTTTTAAAACAATATAATTAAAACGGAATTGATCGAATTTTGTAAATACAGTCGGCTTTGATCCGTGCACGATAATTATTAAAATTTAATAAAATCGCACTTTATATTATTCGACTGCTGAAATTTATTTATTTTTTGTTGTTTTTGTTGTAATTTTTGTTATGTAATTTGTATAGTTTTGTTTTGTTTTTTTTATTGCTGCGGATTCGAGCTTTAATGAAGCAACACCATTTTATATAAATGATATTTTGCAAATCAATATTATTTCACGTTGCGCGAATCGCGATTGAAATAATTCGTAACGAATTAAATATCAAATTATATATTTAATTGCATGCAGCGAACGCATTATTGCATATTTAACAATTGTTCGCGCTGAAATTTAATGGACGGATTGAAAAATATGTGTGCGCGATTAATTATTTCCATTGAAATATTATTATCAAATACTCTTGTTTTTTTTTTTATTTATTGATAATTAAATATTTCAGTTAATCTTTTATCATTTAATTAATTACATAATAAAATATTTTTCAATTTATACTCGTATTTTTTTATAATTTCTAATTAACTTTTTTTAACGGACAAATAAATGAAAAACAAGCACAGAAAAACTACATAAGGGTCAAAATGACCCAGAAGTCATTAACTATTAAGAAAATTGAACAGATTATTAATATTATGACCAAAGACAGATTAATTATTGTTATTTAATGGGTCAAAATGACCTATAAATCAATAACTATTAAGAAAATTGAACATATTATTAATATTATTAACAAAGACAAATTAATTATTATTATTTAATGAACTTAACATCATTTAAAACTAATATTATTGCTTTATAATTTCTTATAAACTTCATTTAACTTGTAACTACTACGGACAAATAAATGAAAAAACAAGCACTACATATAGGTCAAAATGACCCATAGGTTATTAACTATTAAGTAAATTGTATACATTATTAATATTTATAACAAACACAGATTAATTATTTAATGAATTTAAAGTTATTTAAAACTAATTTTATTGTTTTATAATTTCTAATTAATCTTTTAACTACGGACAAATAAAATAACCAAAAGTACTTCTTATGGGTCAAAATGGCCCGATTATAAAATATTAACAAAATTGAACAAACTATGAATTCTTACAACAAACACAGATTCATTCTTATAATTTAATGAATTTATCATCATTTAAAACCGATTTTATTGCTTAAAATAATTTGGACAAGTTTTTTGAGCAAGCAAATTACAGCAGAATGCGATTGACAAGAAATATCAGGTGGGGGTCACTCTGACCCATCTGTAGTACTGACAGGTTAATAATTTTATTTTCTTTAATTATTTAGCAAATACAGGTAAACGTTGTTTTGCGCCGGTTCGATTCACGCCGATTCACAATAACGCCACTCTGAAATAACGCTGATTTTACACTTATATAGAACTAAACCCTCACTGTAAATAATAGTTCATTTTACGCCGATTCGATTTGCGACGGCTTTTGTAGGAACGTTAAACGACGTTTACCTGTATTATATATTAAAAAAACAAAAAGCAAATTGAAAAAAAAATAAGGAAAGTATACTAAATTGTTTTTTTTTATCAATATATAAATAATCTGTTAATGCCTTGAAAAATTATTTCTCATTATTTAATCTATTGATTTTTGTTAATTTACAGTTTAATAGTAACTCTTTTATCATTTCATAATTTATTTACATTTAGTTATTTACTAAATATTATGTAATGAAGTTGAAGTAAATTTGTGAAATTAAAAATACTAATACTTGTTATTATAAAAAAAATCCTTAATTAATTATTATTGAATTACTTAATACTTTCTTAACCTTTTGTCGTCTGACGGTACATATAATACTTATTATTATTATAAAGAGATGAGAAACTCACCTAAATACTTCTTGGTACTTATATGTAATCTTTATATTGTTTACAAAATGATTTGTTTTGCAATTGGAATCACCAAGTAAGTATAAACCTACGTGCAAGTAATACTTGTCACTTCTGTATAGGTAATTTTTGTATGTTGTAACAAAAATATCATTTTCCTTCATAGAGAGCTACGTATTTTGTGATGATTTCTTTGCTCTTCAGCATCTCACCAACGAACGTCTCCGATCCCAACACTTCTCCGAGATTTGATTCCGTCTCGTGCTTCATCATCGCCCATCCACAGCATCCAAAGAACGTGTGTTCTATCGTCTTCTTCGCAATACCAGCACTTTTCGTCTTCCTTTCATGCTTAATATTGCCTGACTTTACCAAAAAAAATACCGCATAATTGTTTCATTGCTGAAATTTACTAAAAACTTATAGGAAACTTAATGTTAATGTATTTTAAAAGAAATATGTTATTTTTTTCAATTTTATTAATTGCTGATTTTAACACTTATATAGAACTAAACCCTATAGTTACCTCACTGTAAATATGGGTTCATTTTACGCCGATTCGATTTGCGACGGCTTTTATAGGAACGGAACCCCCGGAACGTCGCCCACCTACAGCATCCGAAGAACGTGTGTTCTATCGTCTTCTTCGCAATACAAGCACTTCTCGTCTTCCTTTCATACTTAAAGTTGCCTGACTTTACCAAAAAAACACCGCATAATTGTTTCATTGCTGAAATTTACTAAAAACTTTTAGGCAACTTAATTTTAATGTATTTTAGAAGAAATGTTATTTTTTTTCAATTTTAACAATATTCAGGTTAAAAATTTTGAAAATATAAAATGAATAAAACGAATGGAAAACAAGAAAGGGTTGATATCATCCATGATTCGCGAATATAGAAATAATACAGTTGGCGTGTGACACGTAATGGCGAAAACATGTTGTGTTTGGAAATAGATGTCATAATAATTTAATTTAGCGTTAATGCAGATTCGAAATCCCGCGATAAATAATTTTCGTCGCGTTGGCGAAACACAAGTACTTCTTATGGGTCAAAATGACCCGATTCATTCTTATAATTTGATGAATTTAGCATCACTTAAAACCGATTTTATTGCTTAAAATAATTAGAACAAGTTTTTTGAGCAAGTAAATTACAGTAGAATGCGATTGACAAGAAATATCAGGTGGGGGTCACTCTGACCCATCTGTTGTACTTATAGGTTAATAATTTAATTATTTATCAAATACAGGTAAACGTAGTTTTGCGCCGTTCGATTTACGCCGATTCACAATAACGCCGCTCTGAAATAACGCTTATATAGAACTAAACCCTATAGTTACCTCATTGTAAATATGGGTTCATGGGCCGATTCGATTTGCGACGGCTTTTATAGGAAGGGAACCCCCAGAACGTCGCTCATCTACACATCTTCTTCGCAATACCATCACTTTTCGTCTTCCTTTCATGCTTAAAATTGCCTGATTTTACCAAAAAATACCGCATAATTGTTTCAATGCTGAAATTTACTAGAAACTTATAGGAAACTTAATGTTAATGTATTTTAGAAGAAATCCAAAGAAAAATGTTATTTTTTTCAATTTTAACTATATTCAGGTAACAATGTGTTAAATATTTTGAAAATATAAAATGAATAAAACGAATGGAAAACAAGAAAGAGTTGATTTCATCCATGATTCGCGAATATAGAAATAATACAGTTGGCGTGTGACACGTAATGGCGAAAACATGTTGTGTTTGGAAATAGATGTCATAATAATTTAATTTAGCGTTAATGCAGTTTCGAAATCCCGCGATAAATAATTTTCGTGGCGGCAGCAGCGGCGGTGGCGGCTAAATGGCCCTCGCGTATCCCGAAACAATTACCAGAACGTTCGAATCTAATTTCGGAGTCGCGCGGAAATTTTGGCCTCGTGCATCTGCGGGTGTATATCGATATAATGATATTTTTATTATCCGACCGTTAAATTGCTGCTGCTGCCGCCGCCGCCACCCGACCCGCTCCAGCGACGGCTGCCAAACTATAAATTCGCTCGGGTTAATCCCGGCTTTATTAAAATATATTGGATTTACGGATTATTCACAATTAATTAAGTTCAAACTATTCCTGTTAGACACTTATATACTCCTACATATTACATTTTTTTAATTAATTTTTAATATTAAACAAAAACAAATTTTCAGGAATCCACTTTTTAGTTGAAGAATGTAAACTTGTTAATAATAATTAAAAGAATTGGTAAATTACTGAAGTATCTTTTTTATCTCAATTATTTGAATATTAATTACAGTAGGAAATATATACAATCAAAATACGAATATCTACCTGGCAATTATAGGTTTTCGGGGCGCTTTTCGTATTTAGAATTAAAATGGGGAAAAGGAGCGAAGCAGGAGGATGTTATTATTAGGAAGGGAGTGGAGAGCTTGTTAAAACAACGCCGCTTCCGCTTTTTAAAACGTTCCGAATTTAAAACAACACTCCGTCCGCTGATACTCAATTTAAAATCGTTCCAAAGTGAGCAGCATCAGCAGAAGCGGCAATTCCTTCGGCAAATTCCTCCGGTTTCAATTAAAACAGGAAGCCAAAGCCGAAGGCGTCCGCCCTTAATCCATACCGTGCAATGCATTATTCGTATAATAAATCGACCCTATCGTTCTCCTGCACGAGCCAATCGTAAAGAGGTTGGAAGTACTCGAGCAACGGCTCCCCGGACAACTCTTTCTCTCCGGTGATGGTCTGAAGCACGTACTTCCAGTTCTTGCTGGATCCAAGCTTCAGGCCTTGTCTAGAAGAAGAAATAATTAGAGATGATGAGAATTGGAGATGTCTAGGATTTGGTCACTTTAGCCTGTCACCGGCTGCTTTGGATTTGTAGATGTCGCACTTGTGGAGCGGCATTAGGTGTTTGTCATAGTTGTTGGAGAACTTGCACAGGGCTTTATGCAGCTGGAATTCCAGGATGTGGGCGAAGAAGTAGCTGAAATAGTTGCGCTAGATATTAGGTGGAAGCACTAGAGACCGAGAAATACCAACGACATGTACTGCGAGTCGCCTGGTATATGGTATTTGGAGCCGATGTCGAAGTCCTCCTGCGTCCTCGGCATCGGCGACTTCAGCTTCTGGTATTTCTCTCTGAATAATGAAATTAATGATGGAGAAAGCTTAGGTGGTTATGGTGTCACCTGTAATTCCAATAATGAGCGTTCCACTGGTCGGGATCAACCCTATTCGCGAACACATCCCATCGCCACTTATCAACGATCAGACCGAAGGGCAGGAAGGCGATGCGCTCCAGAGCCATGTCCATTAGGGCATTAATAGTCGACTCCTTTGTCTCCGTCACGTTCTGGATCAGCCCTATGGCCTTTAAATGGTGAGGGGTGGACGCGGACAGAGCAATGGTATCACCAATCGCCTCGTGGAACCCTTTGAAATAATCAAATTAACCATAATATAAAGCCCTCCCCTCTTAAATCCCCGAGAAACGAGTTTCTACCCGGATTAGCGCCGGATCGGAAAGTAATCGGCAGATGGCTGTACTGGATGTAATACTGTATATGCCCCATCTCGTGGTGGATCGTTATGAAGTTCTGATGGTTCACCTCCGCGCACATTTTTATACTGCAACAAAAAAAAATAAATTACCGCAACGAATTAATCGCTTAATGCGGGCTTCATTCGGAATTCACCATTTATTAAATGTATTCAACTGTCTGCCATGGAAGGCCTTTTTTATGTAAATATCCAACAACTAAAAAAATAAATAAAAATGGAACTGAATAGAAGAAAAGCATCGAAGACGAAGAAGCGGGAGTGAATAATTTATAAAGCCTTCGCGCAATGCAAATTCACCCGAAACGAATTAATTATTATTGCATGGTGTCACTTTAAGTTTAATGAGCTGAATTGGGTCAAATTAATTTCAGCTCCGCCTGGCCTCTCTGCAATCCGAATTCGAATCCGGAATGGAGGGACACCTCACACCGGTCTGGACATTAATGTTCAGACAACGGCTACCACGCTCCGAGCCAAGTGCTATCGCCGATAATTTTATGCCATCAAATTAACATCAATATAGACTACGAAGATAATACAATTCTCCCGCATCTCTGATTCTACCAAAATACTCATAGAACCTTAAGTACATCAATAAAAATAATGTAATTATTTGTCGTATTTCCTAATAATTTTTGCCCTTTTATTATAGAAATACTTAAAGATGCTTTGTCTCTACAATGAAACTTATTCCTTTCATTAAATATTTCTTGAGAAATTAAAAAAAAAATGGTATAGAAATATAAAGAACAAAAAATTAAAAAAGGATTCTTTAAAGCTGTAGTTTTCTTACCGAAAGTCTTTACCGTTGCAAAAATCCCATGCTGAAGCGTGACAAAGTATTTCTCTATTATGTGGTCTTTCTACGACGGCTCCAGTATTAGTATCATAAGACATTGTCATTGAAGCTAATCCCAAGGATGTGTAAAACTCGTTGGCCACTTCGAACATCTTGTGCGGAGTATACTTGTGTTTTTTCAAGGCCTCCGTGACATCGATGTCGTCCGCGCGCGGATACGGCCTCACCAGAGACCTAACATTTGTCCACGTTTGTCCCCACATGTTACCTAAGTGGAAAAACAACAGACAGACAAAAAAAAAGGTCAGATTAGAACGGCGGTGATTAATGACGAATTTACCTAAGACGTGGGCAGGGATAAGATCGTCGTCATCCTGCGGCATGTCCTTCCCGTAGACGTGTCTCAATCTATTCAGGACGTAGCGGTGCAATTCCTCGTACAAAGGACTCACTTCCTTCCACAAACGATCCAGATCGCTCTCCATCGCCGGATACTCGTACTCGTTCCTCCACATTTGTCCCATGTCCGTGAAATCTGAGATAGAGAGATAGAGAGAGAAAAAGGAGAAATTGCATCCGGTGAAAGATGGAGTAAATTGGAAGTCCTTACTATTCGCCGTGGCTGCATCGTTCGAAAGGACGACGTAAAACTCGTATAAGCGCTTTATTTTTGCACCAGTTGCTTCACGCCACGACAGCCAAATGTACAACAGCTCATCGTAGTCTCGACTAGTCGCCATTATTCGCTCCAAATCTAAAAGAAAAACGCAACAATGAAACAAATAAAGATATACCAAAATATACCTGGATCCAATTGTAGTCCTTCCGTTTTCAGATCGCAGTGCGGCTTCTGGTAAGGACAGACGCGGGCCGTCCCGTAGATCTGGGTCATCGCGTCAATTACACCTGTCAGCTGAAATTTTTTTTAATTCCTGGTCTAAATTTAAACCGAATCAATATACAAAACGTTCGCGTCAGTACGCAACTCTACTTCCATCAATATGCATGATGCCTAATTGAAGATCGACCCAAACGAAGGTCACACAAGGATTGATTAAAACCCAATCAAATTTAAACCCAATTAGGTGAAACACCCTTTTCTTAATCAATCAAATTAAGCAACTATAAAAGATCAAAGTTTAACAACATCTAATACCTCTTTTAATTTCTTATCTCCAAGCGCTGCCACTCCTAAGATGGACAACAGCTTGATCTGCCGCTGAAGACTGGAGCATTCCAACGAATTCACGTCGATGTCCTTGAAGAAATGCTTCCAATAATCCTTATCCAGTTTAGCGCTCTCGATGGTGGCGTTGATCTTAAAGAATGTAAGCAGTGTGAATCATAAAAACGTTCTTTTACGAGCACCGCTTTGTTTGTTGCGCCCCATTTCGACGACCCCAGAATCGCGTTCAATCAGGATTTATCGAATATTTACGATGTCCATAATAAAAAACTTAACATAATCTCGTGCATTAGGCTATGATTTTAATTAAAGGACGAAAGCACACAAAAAAAAGAAAAAGGACTTTTTTTTTACGATTCTCCTTAAAGCAATTCAATTTGCGAAACGCTCAATTCATAACTTTAACAGCGCGCGATATGTCTTTGTAACGTGGAAACTAGGTAATAAAATTGATATTTTTCCCTTTGATGACGAAGAAATGTATTTCCGAGATGAAAAATTATTAACTGAAATATATTTATATATAAAAAAAAGGAAATAATGAAGGAATAAGAAAATGAAAAGAAAAAATTGGAAAAGTCGAATCGACTTGTTTTTAATAAAATTAATAACAGAGCTTTTTTTTCGCTCTCTTCGAGATGTAAATAAGCCAGTTGGCGAAGTAAAGCCGTGGACCCATTACAAACTTTATAAATTATAAGCGAGGCTCTTTCTGCCTAAGAGAGATTTAATAACAATCTCCGTATCCGAAACCAATTTGCTCGCAGCGAAAGGAAGAGAGAAAAAAAAGTATTAAAAATATGTTTTTTTCTCTCTTTTCTATAGACAGGAGCTTTTGCGATATTTACGTTGAATTAAAAAAGTTTTTTTATCAATTCCACCTGCGTCGTTGAAAAGGGTGAGGGGTTGTTTTTTTTTTCCTTCAGGAAGTTCGTTTCTTCTTACCGAAATTAGTGCTTTCTGTGGATCCTTGATGTCTACTAAATGATTCCATTCCGCCGTTACAGCTTTGGTGCACATCTCCGTCGCGTTCTTCTCGTACTCGTAGCAAAGGAACTTGCGTATAGCCTTCTCATCTTTGAGGCTAACCTCGCTGCGACACGTCCTTCTTCCTAGACTATACGTGCATCTCATAAAAACTAGTAAACTGATCTGCAATCAAGGAAACGCATTAATTTCAATGATTAATTTATGTTCGTCTTTGTATACTTACTAATAATAAAAAGGATAAATTGCTCATAAATAGTTTTTGGTAAACGGCAGCATTCTTTGCGTGGAACTGTCAAGGTGACAAAGCGAAAATGCTAACCTAAATACGCAAATCCAAAGCATACTACAAATAATTAAAGTCTTACCTAATCAAAATAAGATTTATTTGCAATCAATGTAAATTATATACGTTTCAATTTACTCTTTTTATGAACAAAACAAATTTAATTAAAAAAAAAATTTGTAAACGAAAGAAACAATGTATTGAAATTTGTGAAAACTAAAGCTAACTAAATATTTAGATTAAATATTGTTATTTAATTAAGTAATAGTTTATATTTATTTATAAATGAAATTTTCCATTTTTCAGTACATTTATGTAATTTGAAATGAAAAGCAAATTTCTTTAATTATCAATAGAAATTTAACATATACTTTACTAAACACATAGTATTTTTTTTATTTTAATCTGATTGTCTGTTGTTCTTTACCAGACATTTAAAGTAGACGTGTCTTTGCAGGTTTCTTAGATGGAAAAACACGAGTATTGTTCTGTAATCATTTTTTTTTTGATTTGGAAGGTTTTGTAATGGCTATAGAAACATTCATGGTAAGATGATAAATGTATTGAAGCAATCTATTCTTTTATTTCTGACTGTCTACATATGGTTCAAGTGCAGAAGAGAAGACAAAGACTGTTTTCATCAGCAGTTATGGTATTAGAGATCATTTTGGATGTAAATGATTTGTTGTTAAAAGATTATCTTTAAAGATAATTAAGAATTAAATCAAAACATTAGCCAAATCTATTAGATCAATTAGATCGGAAAACAATCATGAAAAAAGGCCGTCTTTACAGAATAAGAAAATCTATCACCAAGGTGTGTTTTGACCATGGCAAAAATCAAAGAATTTGAAGTATGAATTGCTTAGAAATCCATCACATTATTAGACAAACTTTGGTCTAAATGTTGGACAGTTTAGCGATTTGTATAGAAAAATTAAATAATTTTTTAACAACAAAATTGTTTTTTCAAACTGCCTTCATAATACATAAATAACAATTGCTTACAATTAAATTCAGTTTAAAAAGTTATATAACTCTTTAATATTGAATTCAAATAATGAATTCAGATAATGAAAATAAAAAAATAATTGCAAAAACCAAATTCGAAGCTTTTATTATGTAATTTTGAAACAATTTTTTGAAAAACAGAATGCTATCAAGATTATTGTGAAAATATAGAAAAAAACAATGTTTGTTTTGTGCAAATATTGGTTTTATTGTAAATCTTGTAAATTTGTTTGAAATCTATTAACTCATAAAATATGAAACCATAAGTAAATTTAATTATTCTTAAAGAGTCAATAATTCCCTTCTTTTGATTGGAAAATACTACATAAAAAATATAAACTTTTCATTAAATTTAACAAAAAAAATAGATTTGTAATATTAATTTAGATTATATAAATATAGTTGAACCTCACTTAAAGAATTTACTCCGCTTTAAAATTTCCGGATTTTTGAAACATATTCAAAAATCGTCACTCGGTATGCGAAATGTTCGTTATGCAAGGTGCTCGTGAAGTGAGGTTCCACTGTATAATTGTATGTTGGTTCAATTCTATTGCATGCAATCAATATTCCTTTTTCTTATATTTTTGAAGAAGTTTAAGAACTTTTTAACAGCTACAAATAAAGTTTACAAAATGTATTTATTGTGATGAAAAAAAATAAACACATTAAATACTTTTCATCAAATGTAATACAAATAAATTCGTAATTTCTATTATATGCAATCATTATTTATATTTCTTATATTGTTAATTAAATTTAAGGACTTTTTAACAGCTACAAATAAAGTTTGTTAAAATTTATTTATTTTTTCTGATAAAAAAAAACACGTTGGTCACAAAATGTGTTTGCATGTGCGTCGAGCACTCCCCCAAAACACTGTACGTATGTATGTTTGGTTGGTTTTAATCCTCCTGCAGATGTCAGGGGTATTATCGGATTATTCCATTAGTCAAATCGTGAAATAATCGCACTAAACATAACATTCGTTAACAGGGCATTTCCATTTATTCCCAAATTGCAACGAGCCAAACTCCAAAAGATAAAAAAAAAACAAACTAACTCGACGGTTTTAAATAAACGCACACTTTAATTGCTTTCATCCAAATCCAGACAAGTAGAAGAAGGAGAAAAAAGTTGCATTTCCTTTCGAGCGAAGACAAATAAATCTCTTTTTAATTTATCGTGTTTGTGGGTTAAGGCAATATTAGCTCAAGAATCCTCGCATACTCTTCCCAAAAAACCCTCGTGTCCCCTCTTTCCTGAAGAGAATTATACCGCTTTTACTGCAGACGCGGTAGTTTTTTTTTTCTTTACGACTCAACTTTGATGATTAATGTTTCCCCCAAATCTGGACACAAATGGGACTTACTTATATAATCATTTGTCTTTTGGACACGCGCATCCAGCAGGAACCAAGAACGTTAATGCTCTCCAATATATTAAATTTCATTCCTGCAAAATCTACTGCAAGTATGATTGATATAAGATGAGAATTACTTAAGATTTGATGGCTTTAGTCTTAACAATTAATGGCAGCAATTTCAAGCAATTTTCTTTTTAGTTATTAAAGAAATATTATTGCCTGTATTTTATGAATGTATATGTTAAAAAGTAAAGAAAATGATTGGCTGTGAATGTGAATAATTTCATTTCGTATCCCATCCATCATTTCTTCTGGCGATGAAATAATATTTTCGCTGGATGGAAATTAAATCAAAACATTTAAAAAGGAAGGCAAGGATCAACGGGAATATTATTAATGATCCGGTAATGGAAAATTGTACTCGTGGAGGGAGAGAAAAAAAAGGAAGATGATGAAGAAGGGAGAGATAGATTGGAAAGTTATTTGAATATGAATCGAGGGTTTTTTTTTGAAGTTAAAAGTGAGCGACGCTACGTCTCTATTTTCTTTACGGAATTTTTCTTTTTTCCCTTTCCCAAACTTTATTCTTTCTACATCTAATGCAGATTCGGTGGATTCAATAAGCGATGTACGTGTTTATTATGGTACGAACTTTTCCAACCATTTCGCATGCAAAGAAAGTCACTTTAAATTTGATTTTTATTAAGTTCGTAAAGTTGTTTAAAATACATTAATTTTGAATGAAGTTTTCTCCTTTATTTATCAATTGTTAGAAATGAAATTTAGTCCTAATTTTTATAAAATTCATAAAGTAGTTTAATTTCAATTAATTTTTTTAGTCAAAATTCATTTCAAATTAAATTTTATATAACCAAAATAATTTTAATTATATAATTAATTTTGATATAATTAAATTAAAAAAAAATTAAAAGTTTTATTTCATTTCTTATGTAGAATCACTTCAGTCCTGATTTTTTATTCACTTTATAAAGTTGTTTAATTTCAACTCATTTTTAATCAAATTTTATATACAAGGTGGCGCAAAAGTAATGTCATAATTTTAATTTGCTGCCATTTTGTTATAGATGAAAAAATGAGCTGCTGATCTTCGGACAAGGTATGACTTCGTATCAAAAATAATAATGAGCTATGAAGTGGTTATGTTAACAAACAAAATTCTGCACCAGACTTTTCCTTAGGGCTTTTTAAAATCACTCGTTTATTATTTCAACAAATATTCCGATTATTATGAAATGAGTTCATTTAGTCCTGATTTGTATTAATTAATTAATAATAAAGTACTAAATTTTAAACTGTTTTAAAAGGCTAACGTTTTAGCTTGATTTCCTTCATAATGTAATTTATAGAAATACAAAATAATTCCATTTTCAATTATTAATTATTAATTGAATCGTTTTTAAATATTAAATATATTGTTTATATTATTTTAGTTGTGTTATTTAAAAACACGTTTTAAAAAATCTTAAGGTTGATGATGCATATGTAATCATAGATGGATTCCCAAATTAGATTCGGTGATAAATCGGAATTTGGATATTGTAATTGGATGCGATTAGCGTGTGTCGCACGGCCGTCGAATTTCGTCAATTATGTTAATGCGACGTCGGAGTGCCGCATGTGTAGGTGCACATGTACAAGCATGTACGTATACACATATATATAGTACAAGTACACATGGCCACGTGTATCGGGCAATCCATCTTCCGGGCGTCGCGACGCTTTACAAGACGGCCTGACAAGTTTCGGGTGAGGACGACGCTCCATTCTCCGCAGACGCACAGCACGTTAAATTAGTTTAATATCTTGTAATCGCCTAATGGACAATCTCATCAATTTAACAGCTGCAGCGTAGACTACAAAAAAAGAAAGAAAAAAACGGGATGGAAAAAGATACAAGTAGAAGTTGCATCAGAAACTTCTAACAAAAGCAGATGCAAGACTAACTTTTACCTTTTATGTAGCTCAAAGAAAACACGATTTCCTTGAAGAATTATTTAAATAAACTGTTGGCAATAACAATAAAAATAATCATAAACAATTTGTAGAATTGCGTATTTTTTAAATAAAACAGAATTACAATTATTAATTAAAAAAAATAGTTTCAGATAATAATTCGGAAATTTTTATTATTATTTAATTCATATTAGTCGATTTCAATAGAAACATTTTGAAATAATAAAACATTTCTACATCTAATGCAGATTCGGTGGATTCAATAAGCGATGTACGTGTTTATTATGGTACGAACTTTTCCAACAATTTCGCATGCAAAGAAAGTCACTTTAAACATGATTTTTATTAAGTTCGTAAAGTTGTTTAAAATACATTAATTTTGAATGAAAATTTGTCTTTTCTTTAACAATTCTTAAAAATGAAATGTTTACATGGACAAAATTTAGTCCTGATTTTTATAAACTTCATAAAGTAGTTTAATTTCAACTACTTTTTTTTTAAATTAAATTT